GCTGATATCATAAATCCAATTCCTTCAACTAGTCAAATTATGGAATCTCTAGCCAATGATCTTTATAAAAAATTGTCCGATATGTTTTTCGCGAAACTGGTACAATCGAAGAATAAAGATACCAGCACTGATGATATAGATAAAATTACTAAAGGTATGTCAAAATTATCATTAAATTTAGCAAAAATGGCAAAAGAGGTTAATGCCGTTAAGAAATTATCTCAACATCGTTGTTTAAATTGTAATAGAACTGGACATAATTTTCGCAAGTGTACTCATAAGAAAAGGTCCAAAAGCAGATCCAAAAAGAGAGGCAGTATTAATAAGATTGCTATAGATTCGGATTCAGATACAAACTCTTCCGATAATGATTCTTCAGATAATAACTCCGATTTTGGAAATTCCTCATCTGAGGTTGAATCCGATCATAGTTATGATGTACATATTTCTAATACAAAAAAAAACAAGTAAAGTGGAAGGGTAAATCGGATAAATCATTATCTAAAAAGCGGTTTAGTTCAAAGAAAAGACAGAGTCTTGAGAAAGCAAAGCTTCAAGTTTCCAACTTATCTCTGATTCAACATACTTCACAAAAATCACAAAAGAAATCAGGTACGATTATTGACTCACAAATTCGAAAAATTATTCTAGCTATGTTTAATGATCCAGAGGTTATAGAAACAATTAAAAACAATATTAATAATACGAATTTATCTGTTACAAGACCTGATTTTATGAATTATCGAAACCCAGCTCCAGAAATATCTGATTCAGATAGGAAGAATGAAATGTTAGATGATCCTATGGAGATAGATTTCGTCCGTCAGAAAGAACCAGTAATTAGTATTGCAACTATACCAATTAAAATCAAACGTTTAAAAATTCCGGCATTGGTACTAGATAGTGGTGCTGAACCTGCAATTGTATCAGAAGATATTGTTAAACGTGTAGGCAGGAAAATAGATACATCGGAAAAATATGATTTAAGTGGTGTTGCTACTGTTCCAACAGAATCTGTTAGTATTACTCGTAATTTACCAATTACATTTTCTCCAGGTTTTACTATATGTGAAGATTTTGTAGTTGTACGAGTTCCTAAACCGACATTAATATTCCCAAATTCACTTCTCAAGAAATACAAATGTACTGTAGATTGGAGTAACGATAAAATGAAGATTCATTATAATGGAGAAGATTTTATTATTTCGGTTACTATGCACAAAGTCAAGAATAAGCTCGAAGTAAATTGTGCTACCGCATCTCAGAATGATAGTGACGGACTCTTATTGCTTTGCAATAAGCCATTGATATCTGATCAAATTTTCCAGAAGATAGACAATAATGAGAATGACAATATACTGTTCGAAAAGTGGTGTGCTTCTGTGGACTTTAGCTTGGATTCTGACAGTTCAACTTTAAAAAAAAATGTGTAAATTGTGAGAATAAGTCAAACAGTAAAAAAGAACTTGAAAAGGTATTATTTACTAGTATTCAATCAGTTTCTGAAGTAATTGAATATTATAATGATTTGTGTGATCGATATGTGTCAAAGACACTAGCTCTGCTATAAAACAAAACATTGATTTTATACTTACGAATCTAAGGAACAGATAATTTAGAGACAAGAGTATGACCACTTGCTCTAATCTTTTCTATATCTTTTTGGTTTCTCTTATGTAATTCCAAAACATCTTCAGTCTCTTGCGAG